GCTTCGTTTGTTTCACTGGAGACGCATTTAGACGCGTTCGCTTCTGTACGTTTCGCACGCAAATGGAACGCGTTTCAGACGCGTTTCGAGGCAAAAAACATTTACATGGGTTGTGTAGCATTTTGTAAGAGCGACATTAGAACTGAACCACCGGCTAAAATAAATTGGTTAAAATCAATGAATGGGGAAATTTTGTCAAAAGAGAATCGATTTATCAGATTGTCTTTAAATTGTTGAAACGTTCAAACGATTTTTGGTGGTGTTGGAAGATCATTCCCATAAATTTTATAAAAATTTAGTTCATGGAATGATAGGGTGTGGGTATGGGTATGGGTGTTGGTGGGTGTAGGCACGAGGACCTACTTCATCGACACACCCACACTCCATAACGTAGGAAAGATCCCATGTAAGCTAGTGGGACTTTTAGTAAAGTGGACAATTTTTGCACTTTTGACACTGCTGTTTCTTGTTAGAATTATTTTTTATATAAATATTTTAGTGAAAAACTCAGAGAACAAAAAATATTCAAATTGATTCTTCAAAATTGAAAATATCTATTGATGGAGATTAATTAAGCAAAATGACTTTCATAAACAGCGCGAAATAAAAGAAAGATCAAACACATGTTATTGAACAATTCTATCCATATGCTTCAATACTTGGACCTCAATGTCTTCTCTACTTTATTTTTCTGATTAATCAAATAATTATAGAATTAGATTGTGTTGAAGAACAAAATATTAAAGACTATAACAAACAAGATCAGCGCGAAAATGTTAAACAATAAATGAATACATTCTGATATGATATAAAAATATTTATCGAAATATGTAATTTTGTAGAAGAAGATTAAAACTATCATCTAAAAATAGAATACTTCACAGTTTATAAATGCAATTCAATATTATGATCATTTTACTAATTGAAAACAAATATTTTCGCTCTATAGTTTTTGAGAAAAAGTTTTTCAATAAAGTTTTAATCTGAAATATTGTCTATAGACGTTTTTCATAGTCATTGAACATTTATGAAACCTCCAACGAAAACAATCATGTCCTTATCAAGATATTCAATTTCCAAGCAAACTCGATTATTTTGTCCTCATATTGTCAACTTCTGCTTTCTTTTTGTTTGGATATTGAATATCTCGAAAAAGTCATGTTCATGCCTGTTGAATCAGCGATGTAATTATGTTTCATTTCTATCAGCAATAGGATTATCTCTATTCATTCACTCTTATAAATTTTTCTTTTTTATAAAAACTAATTTATAGTTTAGATCATATCTATTAAGAAATTTTCGACTAACTTATCTATCTTCAAATAGAAGTTTATAGGTTCGGAAATAAGAAGAGAAGTGAAGACTGAAGCGCTACCTCTTTCTGCTTCTGAAATAAAAACCTTTAATGATATTTTTACATCGAAATAAAATTCATATTAGGGCTCCTCTGTTTTTCAAGATTATCTTCAATAAAAGTTAAATATAAATTATATTCATATTAAATTCGCCTTCATTATTTAGGTGTAAAATAATGTTCCCGTAGTCCATTTCTATTATAAAGACAGTAGAAGAAAAAAAAAAGAATATTATTATCAAACAGCAATTGACTATAAAAATAACGAAATACGATTTATTATATCGATTAAAATTCTTTTAAATATATTTATTCAAAATATAAAACTAATCGATTAATGGACTAAGAAATGAATATTTATTGAATAGAAATCTGTTGAATCACTTGTTGCTTTTTTGTTGAATTTTTTATTCTTTAATAAATTCTCTAATAAAAGTATGTGTTTTCAAGTTTCAATAAATTCCTCTTGATATTTCATTATACTTTGACTACCTTTAATAAATATATAAAAGACAAGATTTTCTCAGCCATTTATATTTTTCATAGAAGCATGCATCTCTTTATCTAAACTTTAAATAAAACTCAGTGAAGAATAGGTTTACACTAAATCAAATCTGATTCGATTCGGTTGTGCATCTATTCGGATTACGATCCATTACCTCAGGCAATAATAAAATATGAGAATGAATATAAATTTAGAGATTTGTATCAGTTAGATAATGTATAGTGCAACCAAATGAATCTGTTTATAAAGAAAAAAAAGCAGAGACGACAAAGAAAGTTGAGAACAACAATCTACTTTTTTGTTAACGAACATACGTAAATGTTGTTAGAAGAAAGACAAGCAACGGGGAATATAGAAGATTAAAAAAAGAACGTACGAAAGAAAGAATATCAGACAGCTTCGTATCCATAAAGATTAAATAATACCACTGATTTTTAAGTATCATCATTTGGTGAAAGACCAATTTGAATACATAAACTTTCGTACATTGCCTTATCGGCTGCAACACCTTGATTTGTTAATTGATGTACTCTTTTGAGCAATTCAATTTTGCTTCGATTTATTTCTTGTTCATCCTAAAATAAGAGAAACATTCAAAAAAAATAATGCTTTTTATTGTTGCCCATCAAGTTTTTATTTGAAAACTAACAAGAACTGAATTTAGTTAACGAAGTCTTAATGAGTAGATAGTCGTATACTAATCAAATCGAACTCTTCTTTTAATGATTTAATCAACGATATGAAATGTTCTTTTATTTTATATGGAGAAATCGCAAAAACAAAAGTGATTTGACGTCAATAAGTCCATGAAAATATAAAAGATATCCTTATGAAATGTCTGGTATATTATTTATTATGTCAACAAATGATTTCTATACGATTGTAAAGGTATGTTGAGTATCTTTCATCCTGAACATTTTTTCGTAAGATGTTTTGCTCACTGAAAAATTTTGCTAGATACAAGCTCGACTCTTTCAGCTGTGTACTCTGCCTTTATTCAATTAGTTTACTTTTCATCTAGATATCCTATTAAACCGTTTGAAATAATTACGCCATCTTTTCTATTATTTTTTATTGAGTGACTACAAAATAGCTTAGCCTAGGTATATTATTAACAACAAATAGAAGTTTCTCATGAGGTCGTACAAGAAAACATATTTTACTACATTACTCTATAAATTGTTTTTATCACCTACTTTTTCTGCCATGTTGAACTAAGAACAACGAAGGCAAATTATCCAATATATATATGTCATTCTTGAGTGAGCCCATACTATGAACATATTTTTTCTTCTTTACACATCCGTCTATATATGTTCAAAGAAAAAAAAAGAAATTTGCTTGACGAAGAGGAAAGAAACAACGAATCTTTATCTGTTTCGACGCGTAGCGAACGAATAAAAAATGAAAAAAAATGACTTACAGGTGTATCCAATATAACTGGAACAGGTCGCCGATCAGAAAGATGATTAATAATACTAATAATACCATCAATATCGACTTTGTCATCGGCTACAAAAAAGTGAAATTATTTTTCCCAAATATATTCTGATAAATTGCTCACAGTTTACATCTTGATCAGAAACTAAATCAGATAATTCGCCATCAGTTACATTAAAACCGGCTCTTTTTATTAATATAACTAGAGAAGAAAAACTTAAATCGATAAACTTATAATTACAAGTAGATACTTGATTGCTGTTGACTAATTGTATCATCATCATCTTGCTCATCTCGACGAGCATCAACGGCAGTTGATGAACTTGGTTCAGTATCATCATCAGATTCATCAATTCGTTAACGTTTATGACGAGCTGTTTCTTCCCAGGTGAATGAATCCGATGCAGAATCCGGTCAGATCTTATAAAATCCGACGAGCCGACAAAGTCCCATGAGATTCCGGGTTGAGGAACTACTAGCGGATTCCTAGTGTTGGAACCCGGTGAACATCCGACCAAATCCGACAACCGAATTCGATAGGAATTTTAGAAGTCGGATTCCAACGAAATCCTAAAGAAACCTATCGGGTTTTCACTGGTTCCTGCAAGAATCGATCGGATTCCAAAACTAGGGATCCGTGAGTGGGTCCGCAACCCGGATTTTCTTAGAATCCTGCAGGAACCAATCGAAATCCGATCGAGTCCGGTTGGATCCAAGTATCGGATTGTTCGTCCTGGGATAGTTTCTTTTTCTTTCAGAACAATTTAAACAAAGCGGTTGATTTTCATGGACAATATTATATTCACCATTTATACGTTCATTACAATTTGAACAACAAAAACGATCAATAACCGACGAATGATCTTCAGCTTTAGCCCACACCCACACCCTTTGAACTTCTCACATACACTTTATAGCAACACTTCTTCATCATCAGGTAATATTCTTCACCATTGGGGTACACATGTAAGATTGATACGAATTTGCTGTTTTACAATGCAAACACGGTTTAAATAAATTTTTATGTTCGCAAAGAGGAAATCTAGGTCATAGAGATTATCTAAGAAACATAGACTGGTTTCTAGTTTTCTAAAAGCAAGTTTCATCTTTTTTTGGATTAACTGAATTTTTTCATATTTTCTCATTGTTTACTTTGGATCCACCTATTGTGTCGTTTGGCTGAGAGGAACAATTGAAATTGAATATCTTACTTTTAATGAGACTTATACATGAGTACGGTTCAATATTGTAAAGACGCGGTCGCATATAATTCTATCAAGTCGTTTGTTAATGTTTATTAGAGAATAAATTAATTCTATAAAAATTTTCATCAGTAACTCATTTTTTCACATTCGAGAATGAACATATATTTATTTACTCGCTGCTGTCGGTCAATATAGCTATGCTTTCAAGAACTTTTTTTTTATCATCTATCCCCTTTCTCTTAACTTTCAAAAATTTGTATAATCGAAAAATGTAAGGCTACACAATTCTATCATTTTCTGCAATTAACAATGGCAATACAAGAAGAACCTAAGATATCATGAAAAGACCGATCTTAGACTATTCTTTATCAGTGTTACATATAGCTAATTGAAATACTTTGATATTGACTATCTTGGCAAATTTAGGCATGATCTTTTGAATATAATAGTCTGGGTTGTTGTTATATCAAACGACCTCACATCATCATTAACATGCATACAATAGTAGAAAATAAAGAAACGAAAGAAAATCCATATCCATACTTTCTCTATTTATGTATTGGTTCATCGCCATTCGAATGGATTCATTATTCTTTGTATAGAAAAACGAAACCTTTGTAATTATATCCTTTTATTTCATCCGTTGTTATTATGCCATCAGTCTTATGGGAACATCTTCCAGAACAGTTATCACCTCCGAATTTAATTGATACATCTAAACTAGAAAGAACGATGAATAAACGGTGAGTATAAAATCCCTGTGTATTACATCTTGTCATTTTTGTTTTAGAAAATATTCTGATTTTAATTTTGATACATCGAATAAACCTGGTTCACCGTGGTAAGTTATTTTAAAGATTGAAAAACAAACTTATCTTTGTTTTAGGTATACTGGTCCAACTAAAAAAAGACGACCAACACAGCGTTCCACTATGGCTTCGATGTCTTCATCGAGATCTAATTATAGATCTTCGCCATTGCTCGACAAAACTTCGTCCATAGAAAATATCGATGATGATTTTATTTCTCCACCAAAACGTCCATTACAAAAAAAGAAACCTCAAGTAATAGTTTCATCGGATTCTGATGATACAATTATTATTGATGATGATGATGACGACGATGATGATCATGATAGTGAAAAAGAACAACGAGAACCGATCAAAAAGAAAGTTGTGCATCGACGTAAGATGAACATTTTTTATTAAATAATTTTTTTCATTCTTTTTTCTTCTTCTAGCTGAAATAACTGAAGATAAATTGGATGTTCAAACACAACGAGCTATGAAAGAACAAACTGAACGCGATAAACGCATTAAACTTCAAGAAGAACGTGAAGAATTAGCTCGTTTAGAACGCGTCCGAAAACAAAAAGAATACAATGGCGATGTACTTAGTGAACATGCACAAAAGCATTTACCAGTTGCATTTGAATTAGTACTTGAAACCGATCGAAATACAAACAATATTGTTATTGAAGTTGATTTAATGCTTGTTCAATATATGAAACAGCATCAAGGTAAAATGAATTCGAGATATTAATTTTATTCATTTACTTTGAATTTTTAGTCGAAGGTGTGCGATTTCTTTGGAGTCAATTATTTGAATCAACAGCACAGATTGCGGCTAGTCTTGATAGAGAGACAAAGCTACTTCGAGGCGGCTCAGGTGCTATTCTAGCTCATTGTATGGGTTTAGGCAAAACATTTACAACTATATCATTAATACATACATTATTTCGCTATCCGAAATTATGTCATATTCGTCGGGTATTAATACTTTGTCCATTAAATACTGCAACTAAGTATGTAGACGTGGAACTTTTTATTGTATCTTAAAAACGTTTTTATTTAGCTGGAGAAATGAATTTCGACAATGGATTGGTGATCTTCAACCGCATATTAATGTTTATTTATTCAATGCAGATGATGTACGGAAAAAAGATCGTTTGCAATTTCTTCGTAATGTAAGTTCAATGTTTTGCTATTAGAAATCCGATTGTAAAACTTGATTGTATAGTGGTATGAAAATGGTGGAATATTAATCATGGGCTATGAAATGTATCGATTATTAAATATTGCACCAGATACAAATGCAAAAAAGTCTCGTAAAAAAACCAAGAAGAAACCAAATTTCATTGGAAATAGTGATGATGATTCGTCCGACAGTAGTGACCAAGGATGGACAAGTAAATTGGCTAAAACGAAAGCTGATTTTGCTATTATTGAAAAATATCGTAAGTTTAACTTTCATATAAATTGAGAAAATAACGAATGTTTTTATTTTGTCTATAGGAAAGTACCTTCGTTCACCGGGTCCCGATTTAGTGGTTTGTGATGAAGGTCATATGATGTAAGATTCTCTTTTTGGTTTCATTATTGATTCATTTTGTTTTCTTAGTAAAAATCCCAAGAGTGCTGTTGCTCGAATGGTGAATGAAATACGTACATTACGTCGAATTGTATTGACCGGTACACCAATGCAGAACAATTTAAAAGAATATTATGCAATGATTAATTTTTGTAAACCAAATTATCTTGGTTTGTTTGAAGGAAACTTTTAGTTTTGCTTCAAAATAAATGAGAACTAATTTCAGGTACTGAAAGTGAATTTTCACGAAATTTTCGAATACCAATCGAAGCTGGTCAACACAAAGATAGTTCACCGGGTGATGTTGCATATATGCGACGTCGAGCATTTGCATTAAATCAACGTTTAAAGACAATTCTTCATCGACGTGACTTTGAAGTTCTACGTGCATTTTTACCACCGAAATTCGAATATGGTAAATAGAAAATTATAACTGACTACTATGACTTTTCGGTTTTGTGAATAGCTGTAAAAATCAAATGTACACCATTACAACAAGAACTCTATCGAACATATTTATTGATTCAAAATATTGATCCTACAGCTCGGCTAAGTAAATCTTTTTTTTTTCTAGCGATGGAATTTATTCTATTTTGTTTTTGTAAAGATATGGCGAAGCTACTCGGTGATTATCAGTATTTAATGAAAATTTGGACAGTAAGTTATTATGATATATATGTTCTTTGTGCATGAATTCACTGTTTAGCATCCATGGCTATTGAAACCACATTTTATTGATGGTTATCAGAAATATTTAAAAGGTCAAGATCGAGTAGAAACAGATCAATTTTTTCAAGATGATCCAGATGATATCGAAGATGAAAACGAAGGATCACGAACTCAAAAGCGTACGAAACAACCATCTATTAACAATCGCATGCAATCAGTAAGAAATTACAAAAAGAAAGATCTGTAACTTTCTGTAAAATTTTAGACTATTAATACTGCTCAACGTGTAACAAGCAAATATTTTTCAATTGATAACGACAATAATGATGTAGTTAGCACCGATCGAATGACCGATGTATTGAATTCAATGAAACAAGAATGGTGGTATGATATATTCGAAGTAGATCGATCACAATTTGATGTAAGTTTTACTAGAAAAAAACTTATTTATCTACTGCACTTTTTAATATGTAGATTGAACTTTCGGGTAAATTTGAAATATTTCGAGCGATTCTAAATGAATGCGAATCGATTGGGGATAAACTATTGGTATTTACTCGAAGTCTTCTTGCGCTCGATTACATCGAACAATGGCTTGCACGTTGGAGTTCAAGAGCACCTTCGCCTAAATGGGTGAAGGGTGAGGATTATTTTCGTATGGATGGTAAGACCTTTTGTTTTAATGATATTGATATGACAACATTTTTCATAAAGTCTGCAAGCAGATTGATTTTGTAAAAACATTGTAATTCTAAAAACTATTCTTCTATACAAGAGAAGTTAAACGTTTTGGGATACCTTCTATCGTATAAATTTTAATTATAGGAAAAGTTCCAATTAAGCAACGTGCAGCTGATGTAAAAGTATTCAATGAAACTGATAATACTCGAGCACGACTATTTCTCATATCGACTACGGCTGGCGGCATCGGTATTAACCTTTATGCAGCCAATCGTGTTATTATTTTTGACGTCAGTTGGAATCCTGGTATGTTTGATATTTGAAAATTAATTACAAAAATAAATCATCTTGCAATCTTTTCAGCTCACGATCTTCAAGCTATGTTTCGTTCGTATCGTCTTGGCCAAAAGAAACCAGTCTATGTCTATCGTAAGTCGCAAATTTAGAATAGAAAATAATCATAGCTGTTGTTTGCTATAGGTGTTATTGGTAAAGGTACTATGGAGGAAAAAATATATAAACGTCAAATTACTAAACAGGCGATGTCACAACGTGTTGTCGATTCTAAACAACTTGACCGACATTTTACTAACGATGAACTTTCTCAACTATACCAATTTGAACCAGATAATCAAGATGATCCATTGGATAAATATGATGCTGATCGAGTTAAAGATAAAGTTTTAAGAAAACTAATGGATCAATATGCAGATTTAATTGTATCATATCGTGAACATGATTCACTTTTAATTCATCATGATGAACAAAATCTAACAGAGGAAGAACAAAAACAAGCACAAAACGAGGGTTAGAAAATTAACTGATTGTGAAAAGTTTCTATTTCATATAAATTGATTTCTTTTAGATCATCTTACTAAAACACGAATATACGGACGTAATCATACAACAGCTGAAATACCTGTAACTGATGATTCAGATATTCAAATTATATCGGGACAGGTGTTGGATTTTCTTCGTCAAAAGCCTGCATATTAAAATGTGGATATTTATTATTTCTTTGATTTTTTTTCTTGTATTTTTCAATGATTCTCTTAAATTAATCTCTTTAAAAATAAATTGAAAGTGACTATTGGATTTTTAAAACATGTAATTCTCTTGAAGATTTGATAAAAAAAATTGATAGTTTTTCATTGTTTTATTTACTAGAAGAATGATGATTTCTATATGTATGAATTCCAAAACAGAAATTCTAATAAAACTGCTATTGACTGAATGATGATAAATGATATTGTACGCTCATTGGGTGTGGGTGTGGGTGTGTGTGTGGATTTCCATTAAGCTGATGATTCACCCCACCCACACCCTTGAATTGCTTGATGCTGATGCAGTGTTTCTAAAAGCCTATGGAACTTCAAACTAAATCCTAAAGCAAAAGAATGATCATTATTATTATTATTATTATTATTTCTTTTTAAATCTTGCTTGAATTCGAAATTGCTTAAATTGCTTAAAGAGAATAAATGTACATCTTTCGAAAGTAATTTTCGAAATCGAATTAAGATAGATTCAATTGTTAGTTTCAGGTTTTTATTTAATACAAGGAAAAAATGAAAAAAAAGTGAATGTTTTATGAGTACAAATGTTATCTGACAATTATAATTAGAAAGCATATATTGAACTTGCATCATAAATGTTATTATTTAGTATTAACATTCATCGATATCAATAATTTTATTAAATATGTTCAATAGATCGCGTCCGCCATGCTCATCATCTTCACAAACCAAAAACTTCTCTGTTTTTGCAAACGAAGGACGTTGGAAGTGTAAAAAATCAGCAATTTCATTAATACTTTTATGGGCAGGTGGAAATAATTTTGCATTCAATTTGGTTCGATCAATAAAAAGCATAGTATCATTTATTTGAATCGTACATAAATTCTTCAAAAAGTGCTGGCCCAATAAACAATATTCACGTTTTTTTGTATTTCTCATGGATGGAAAATGTTTTTCAAATTCATTAAAAAAATTTACCGCATTTTCTAATGTTTCTTTGTCTGTTTCTGACAAAGAAATTTCAATCCTCTGAGTTAATATTGTGATCGATTCTCTATCGAGTGAAAATCGTACGTAGGGCAATTGAAATTCTAATGATTTGATGTCAGTATGTAAAGAACATTGAATTGTGCAAGGGACCCCCTCAGTTGACTCTTTTGGCTTTATTTGCAAAGTTGTATCAGCTAGTAGACCAACACCATATGCTGTGCCGATTGACCATATGTATTTGTCGTATCGAAAGTTTTTTAACAAAGCATCAATATCATACACTTTGTTTGGTAGCATTGGTAAGGGGAATAACGAAGAGCTTGAACCGCTATCTATTAAAATATATTCTATTTGGATGCCTCCGAAATAATTATTGCTACTTGGAATAAGATAACGCTCACGAAAATTCTTAATAGCAAAACCTTCGATGTTGTTATTTGACAAATACGAATGCAATTGTAGTTTTGAGCCCGTAACTGCTGTAGCACCAGTAGCCATTTTTTGACTATTTGAAAATACAATAGTATTTTTCTGAGGAAAAGAAAAGCAACATCAAATAACATCAATGAAGATTACTAGAAATTGGAACCCGATAGGTTCCAGTGTCAGAATTTAACGGAGGCTGGGTGTAGGCGTGATGACCTTCTTCATCGATACACCCACACCCACACCCTACTCAATGGAAAGGCCATGCAAACGATATGTTCATTTTTTAAATATCAATAAAACAAATTCTTCTTTATATTAATTCATGTTTATACATAACTATTATATATTCTGCTTATGGAAAATTCAACATAATATTTCGATTTAGTGAAAAAGAAAAAACCTTTAACAAACAAAGAAGAAAAAAAGAAAAAAAATTCTCCATTTGAACACTAAAATTGTACACAAATAGCGGTAAAGCTGTTGTGCCAAATAATAACTAGCAAATCATCAAATGAAGTATACATAAGCATGTTAGAGAAAAGACAAAAAAAAAGAAATGTACAAATTAAGATTATTATATTTGCATATTAGATTTCGATACTAAAAAAAAACAAACGAAAGATGCAGAAAGGAAAAAATAATTAGCCAATGTATAACTCGACTTTGGCTCGGATTAAGAGAGAAAAAGATAGAAATTATGTTGCTTATATAGAAGAAGAAGGAGAAGAAGAAAACACCGAGATAAACGTACACAGAGTCATTCTCTGTGAATACAATTTTAGATTTTTGTTGGCAAGAATTCTTTCTTTTTTCGTATCACAGTAGAGAAAGAGAAACAGATGCATTGCACACATGACCGTTTTGATTTATCACACGGATGTTTCAAGAGGTTCTTCTTCCTTCTCTATCTTTCTCGGTCCCTAAAACAATAACAAAACAAAATATTCATTCTGTACATTACAAAAAAATCCCTTGATTTACATCTTATTTTTTTTCTCTGCTAAATGAATTTTTCCGGTGGTCATAGATTTAAACTCGTATAGTCTCTGACTTGTTTTACTTACGTCATAAATTAAACGTGGATCTTTGAATGTACCACTTTCAAATAAACGCTTGCCAATATCTCGGCCATTCTTATTCAATGCTGTTGTATTTGTAGTCAATTGTGTTTGAACTAGTGGAGCAGGTTTCTCGTATTTATATGGATAGGCTTGTGGTAATGCTGATATTCCTTTTTTCGAAAGACCTAATACAGTATTTAACATTTCATCAAACATCACTGGATTTTCTAAATAGAAATAAATCAATGTGATAAAATATCCGATCAAGAAAACATTTTTTTTCTACCTTGATTATTACTGGATTGACTTGATCGGCGAGAAGGTATCGGTTGATGGCCATTTATTCCACTTCCGGTACTTGTCGATGATCGAAGATGTTGCCGACCAAGTTGTCGCGATGACGATGACGTTTCTTTATTCGAATCATTATTGCTCGTTGAAGTCGATCGACTTTTTACTGATGCACTATCAGATTGTTGATGTCCATTTGTCATTTCATCGTGTAAGATCGTTTTCGACGAGGATTTTTTATTATTTAAATCACGTAGTCGTGATTCAAGATATCTCATAAACACATGTAGATCCTCGCGAGTTTTTGATGCATCAAATTGTGCAACACGTGAACGTATATCATCAAGTGCCGCATGTATACGAGGATCATGTGATGCTTGAAGACGAGCAAGTAAGGCTTGTAGTTCACGATTGCTATGTGTTGAAACATAACCGTATAGAAGATCATCAGCATCGGTATGATGTGCATGATAGGATATCTCGGAATTTTCATTCACTTGGCCTGTATACCATTTCATTGACTAAAATTAGGAAACAAAAATATTTAATATCAGTTTAGCAATGACTCGATTTTTGTCTAAGCACATTTCTTCGTCTCATATGGATCTCCTGGAAAATGCTTATGGATTATTTGAATTCGAGGCTCGAATATTTTCAATTTTAAAATAAACTTACCAACATTCGCGTAGTCTCATCTGAATTTTGTAATGCAGAAGATGAAGTACGTGTTACAACCGATGTTAAATTCAATGGTATATGTGATGGTTTTGTTTGATTTTGACTAACTTGATTAAGACTATGCTCGACTGATTTTGATGGTAGTGTTTTTGGCGTTGACATGGTATTATTTTTCGGATATTGATCTGTACTTTTATATTCTGAAACATTATGAAAACTTTTCGATAAACGTGCTTGTCGTTTAAACGATTGGTCATCATTATTATTATTATTTGTTGGTTGCCTTAAATGAACAGCACCATTATCATCAATGATATTTTCATCCGAAGGTGAATAAGTTGATGAAACAAATGCGCGTAAATCTTTTGTTGACGATGATAAACTTTTCGAATTGGTTTGTGCATCGTGTAAAGAATTTCTGCTAAGAGAATTTTGTATATGTTTCACTAATGCATTTGTATCGGCAATAATCGAACGATGTTTTTCACTTTTCGATGCAGCCGATGATGAACGCGATGGTAGTGTTGCAAACGGAGTTTTCATTGACGGACGTTTATATGCATTGCCATTTCCATGACCATTGATAATAACAGGTTGAACTGGTTTTGTATTCACTGTTGATGCATCATCATTATTTAATTTGCCAACAAAATGTCTTGCCGATGGGTGCCGATGGGTTACGGATGATGTACTAAGGTTATTATCAGTACGATTCAACATATCATTAACAGTGTTGATATCGAATTTTTTACGTATTGCAAATTTATCTAATTCACATACTTTAGCGTTGGATGAAGATGATGATGATTGTTGTTCATTATTGTTATCATTAATTAAATGGCTAGGCTTTAATGTACGTGCCGGAATAGGTGGTGGTGGTTGAATTATACTCGCATTTTTAGGTTTCGAATAATGATGAGATGATGATGATGATGATGATGATGATGATACTGAATCGGATTCTGATGAACACGATGATAAATGTTCAACGATCTCAATATCATCATAGAAAATCACCATATCGCTCGATGCATCATCAATTATACCATTATCGCCAACGATGTCATCCTGTTCAATGACCATTTCAGTTGTAATATCAATAGGCGGAACGACGGACCGCTTCGTAAGATTCGATGGTTGTCGCTAGAGAAAAAGAAATGCGAATTTTATTTAATCGTATCGTTTCTGTGACTTACAAACATGTTCATTTTATTGAAATAGAAAGAAAAAGATATTATGTCGGAGTAGATTTATTCGAATAGTTTTGTCGTGAGTTATAGAAGGTTATGACATTTTTTTTTATTATTGATTAGATCGTGAAAAGGTCGCGGAAAAAGATCTTTTCAATGAAAAAGATAAATTTAAACTTTTTCTTTTTCTATTTGATCTCGTGATAATTAATATACTTCAATCGGCCATTTCCGTTGAGTTCCCTTGAGATTTTCTATTTGCTTGAATGAAAATTCTCGGTGGAATTATTTTCTCTTCGAAAAATAGAATAACGAGATAATCGTCGTTTATTGTATGAAACAAAATGAGCAAATAGATTAAACTAAACTTGTTTTCTATGTGCGAAATATTTTTGTTGTGACAATTTCAAGTCATAGAGGTGACAAATTAGGCTGGTTAATCGAATAAAAATATTATTTTCTAAGAATCGACTTCTCAAGGGAATGCATGTGATTACTGATGTGGAAATATCTTTGAATGACTTTTCTTATTCGTATGAAATTCACAAGGGAAATTTTTCTGATGATTCAAATCGGAAATAGGTTTAGTCCGATGACATACTCGTTCTATTGCTTGTGAATTTGCCGATCGTAATGGTGATGTTTCAGTACTTGAATCTGTATGATGATGATTATTGACTTTTTGGCGTTTCAATTTTTCTTCTTGATATTCAGCATCTTCAATATCATTTAATGTATCATCAACTTCGTCGGAACTTGCACGTTCTGATCCCGATAAAATTACTTTTGTAAGATCTCTTCTTCTTGCCGGTACAGCAGGCGACTGTTTCTGGGATATTGATGAACTACTAACAACAATATCATCAAGATTGGTTACTTGTTCAATAGGATTTCGTTTATCTAAGTCGGTCGAAATTTTATGATTATAAAAACGTTGAACAGCTTCAACAGCCGGATATTGTACTGAGGTTTTCTTTGGTGGATTTAGATTTTCATCGAGAACTTCGTCATAATGTGCACTCGATTCGCTTGGCGGTGTCTCCAATGTTGAATCATGATGAAAATCAAGAACGCGTTCAATCGCACCACGAATAAATTGTAAATCTGCATTGATTGCTTGTGACTGATTTATAGTTTTTAATGTTGAATCAATATCTTGATAAATATGTTGTGTTGAAGATTCTTCTGTAATTGATTTTGTTTGATCTACAAACGGTACTGGACGATTTCGTAGTGAACGAACAATCGATGATTCTTGTTCAAATAGAGATGGGCGAAAGGGTAGTGTAGAACTTTCATAAGTAGCATTTTGATGAACTAATGATGGCTTCTTTTTGATTACAGTAGGCAATGAAGGACTATCGTACGTATAATTGTGTTGAATTGATGATGATGATGATGATTCTTGTTTAAATGGAATGGATTGAAGTCGTGATGCTGGAATTTCATCCATTGGTTTCGGACGTGTATTGGGAACTTCAAATTGTGAAAATATTACTGAACTTGTTCGTGTTGCAGTTGGCGGAACGACTGATGAAGGCACTGTTGGTTTGAGTTCGTTTTCAGTTGTCTAAATAAAATATTAAGTATTTTCATTTTTTATGTTTCTTATCTAAGACGATATTATTTTCAAGAATTCTCTTATCGATGTATGTAACCGGATAGAGAACTAATTATTTTATTATATACGATATGCAGCACTTACCGGAATCGTTTTCTCAACTGTTGATGTTGTTGGTGATGTAAATGTAATAATTTGAGTTCTATCTTCTCTATTCGATAATGGTGCCGAATGAGAATCATTAGTTTCTATTATTGTTGTATATGCATTAGATTCAAAAAATGGATTAACACGTCGTAATGCATTTACTGAAACATTATCATAGGTTGTTGGACTGTGATGTTGATGAATATGATAATGAGATTCACTACTTGTTGTTGACGCTCGACTTAATGGACTAACAGGAGCACTACCGAGAAAATAATTTGGCGTTAATGTAACGGTTGTTGTTTTATGATCATAATAAGAACCAACGGAATATTGACGATGACGAATTTTTGGTGTATATATTGAAGGACTCGATAAATCAGAATATTGACAAAGCGATGATTCCCATTTTGGAATAGTATCATTGGTGTTTATATGTAGAGAGGTCGATGGTTGTGTTGATGTTGTATATAATGGTGGAAGAATATAGATTGGTAAAACAGTATTGTCACTAACTGTTGCTGTTGTTGATGGAGAAGATGTTGGTTTTTCATTTTCGATAATAGATGTTTGTAGATTATTATTTATGCTTGGACTATCGGTTGTTGTCAAATAATCTGTATTAATATCGGTTTTGATTGATGTCTAAAATAAAAATTCAAGTATATACGCATTTGATAAGATAGAAAATAAAGATTTACTGTATCGTTAGTAGCTATAATTGATGATGTATTTTGACTATGATCCGAAAGACTATTTTCATGCTCAACTTCATATAAAATATCTTCTTGTATTGGACGACGATAATTTGTACCTAAAAACTGATTTGTTGAATCGCCATTTTCATTATCGTCGATTAATATATCATCTAAATTTGTTATCATTATTGATGAATTATTATTATTGTTGTTGTCATCGTCGTCGTAGTCGTCGTCAAAATCGAATGGATCATTTGATGATGAATAAAGAAAACTGTTATGCATATTAGTGGTTTTATCTTCCATGGCAAATATACGATTCGATTGTTGATTTAAAATTTGAATATTTTCATTTTGCTTTTCATCGTTCGGCGAATTTAACAGTTCGTTTTCGGCACTGTTATGAGGAGAAAATAAGAAAAATTCATCGCCAACAGCATTTATATCAACTTCACGTAAAATTTCATCGTTTGAAATTTCACGAATATTCAACGATTCGATCTGATTCGATCCTGTTTGATGAATGCATGTTTCCAAAGAACCATCATACCAATGTTGATTATCACTTGGACGTGAACCACTTGTCGCTAAACTGCCTGTATTCGATGATGTCGACGTAAGTGATGGCAACGATGAATTTTCCATTTCAACATCAGCTGATGGAATGTAGTCGGATTTTTGTTCTACTGTAGATAAGGCAACAATATCGAGATCTATTAGAATAGAATGAAGAAAGAATAAGTGATGATAAGAATAAAAAGACAGAATCTAAGTATGTGCGAGTATGTGTCGTTCGTTTTTTTCTATTTCTTCACCATGATGACAACAAAAATTCTTGTCTATGAAGTATAGTAAAAATATAGAAAATTGATATGTGTACATTCGAACGCGTTACAATTTGAATCACCGGAAAATGAGTTACGTGGGGCAATCGTAAGCGCGCTTGTTTTATGTCAAATATCTCCGGAGAATACAAAAAATGCAAACTATATCTTTCAATCATTGGTAATGACGAGGAGAATACGCGAGAAAAAATGGAACTGAATGTACAACTACTATTTAATATGTCTAGTCTCCAACACGTTAATCATTGGGGAGAAAAAAGAAAACATTCTCACATATAATTACCTTGATGTTACATATACAAGGCGTTTTATTTGTAAGATTTCATGCAGCAAAAACGACAAAAATTTTCTTTGCTTTTTTTTTACTTTAACAATGGCTCTTTACAGGAAGAAACGTAATTTTTATGTTTGCTCTTATGCTTCCACTTCAAATTTTTCTAAACTTTTTCTTCTAAAGAATGTTTTGACTACATAAAAACAGCACACTTCTGCGTAAATTCAATTAAATATAATAGATCTGTTATTATTTTTCTAACAAAGAGTTGCGAGTTCATCTTTTTTCTCGTTCTCAATAATAATTACCTTCAGCATTGGGTTCCAATGTTTCAGCATGACTTAAATCCGATAGAGAGCTATGAGAAGATAATGTCTCATGCTCATCATGTAATTGTGGTGTTGGTGTTTCGTAGCCAGTCATTGATGACGATGATGATGATGTATCGTCTAGTCTTGCTGTATGATACGATGCTGTCGATGGTGATAGACATCGTTCAGCGACACTTGCATACGATGATGAATCTGTTCCTAGAAGATTTTTATCTGTCGAAGGTAAAACAGCAGACCGATAGGATTCAGCTTCAGATGTAACACTTCTCAATGAATTTGTACGAAACATGTTTGTTGTTGTGACTGTTTCAACAACATGAGTAGATGCAGAATTTCCAATTGTTTGTTCTGTTGGTGCTAAAAAACAATGAAAAAACAACTTTTTTTTCTGCTTTGTTTTTAAGTTGAAAATTAAGTTTTCGTACATTGTGGTACAATAGTCACATCGGCTTCGGATGATACATCAAGAATAGATTCTTCTATTGGGATTTGTGGTTGCGCCATAGTACGTGGTTTTATAGGATGTCGAGCATTATCACTTTTCGTCGATAACGATGATGATGTTGAAGAAGAAGATGAAGAAGAAGAATCCGATGAATTAATACGTCCGGGGTCTAAAATACACAAAAAAGAAAAAAAAAATATATATATATATATATATATATATCGATATAGATAACATAAAACAAGGCAAACAGGTCATTCAAATCGTATTATTATAACTGCCTATTGAGAAAGACTCAAGGCACGTATACACGCTTGCAATCAAAAAAAAACTTAAAATGTGAATTCTCGAGTGTACAGACGCACATATATGTAATCATTCCTATTTTTTGGCCACAAGGGAGATACGAATCAATTGATGATGATGATGCACGCATATATATATATATATATATATATTGATTTGAAAGTCATTAAAGATAACATATACAAATAAAATAATCGTATTCGTATACAATAAAAAAGACACGTAATAATCTTTAAAAAATAACGCCCGAAAATAGATAGACAAACGAGAAAAAAATTGAATCTGGTACAAATGCAAAGCCAAGGCTAATGTTTTGCTTTTACTTTAAACTTCATCGTACAGAGATGAGAATGAAAGAGAGACTGTCGGCAGGTGGATGCATTTGCATGATGATTCGTTGTTACAACGAAAGAAAAGAAAGATGAAGAGAGCGAGAGACAGTATTAAAAAAAACGAACTGATTCGCCAAATAAATCAAAAGAATCAAAAGAATCGCCTCTTTCTTTTTCTTTTATACTTTTTACTTTGACTATTGTCCATTCTATTTTAGACGTCTTCTTCAACGTAAACGAAGAATGGTAATTTAAAAATTGAGTAGAGCGAAAAAAAAAAAGTTTTATTCGTTCTGCTGTCTTTATTATTTTTTCCTATGGCGTGAATTACTCGAGAAAACATATTGAGACATCCGCAAACACGGCTTGCTGTATTGACACTTTTTTTTGCTTTCTCTTTTTTTGTCACTGACACTACACGTTCTGTTGTTTGTCAGTATATACATATTTTCATTAAAATATATATGTGAAACTCGTCGTACATGTGCCACATTAAGGGTATCGTTCTCTTACTTTGCGACGCACTGAAAATAGCGACGACAGATTTGCAACAGTAATAGTAATCGTTCTGACTTGAATGCTATCGATATTCGCATATACAACAGTTCTTATTTTACTTTTACCTCTTCACTCGTTTCGAACAATAAATAATGTACGACTCTTTCTGAATAACAATCAGATAATCACAGGAGTTTTTTTTTGCGGTAGGGACCTTGTTGATTCTTGAAAATTAAAGATTATAACAATTACGTATGCATTTTTTATTATGATCGATCGTATATCGTGAGCGATATATTTAAAAACAAACTCATTAGTAATACATTTGCTTATACTTGCTAACGTTATATTTGTTCTTATAATATGCATCACCAAACGCAAATACAGTGATGTATATAAGAGAAAAAACTGAATCAATTATTGCTTCAGTAGACAAGATACACAAAATAATGAATAATAAGAAAGCTTACGCAGCAAAAAAACGCTGAACAAGGGAACAACATTTATAAATAAATATATATATATGGCTAATCAACATAACTAAACTATCATCTTGTATAAATGGCATGGCTAACATGCGTCAATCATATTTCTTATTTGATTTATCCCTCAAATAGATGAGACCTAACTGGCAAGCAAATGCAATTATGATTAGATATACTTAGAAACCTATTAGCAGAATTTCTTAGCTCAAACTTGAAAAGATTTCATTTTATAAGGATATATTTTCTTAGCAGAAAAAAAGATAGTCTATAATCCATTGTATAAAATTTATTCATAAAAAAAAAAGTTTTGATGACCCTATTCAATGTACTTTAATTGAAGTACTTTCTTTTGTATCGTAATTAGAGACACATCGTTTCACAGATGACAAAAATCTTCAGTTTTCGTACGAGAACAAAACAAAATTTAAATTCTTCATTATCAAACGTGTCATACCCTGAGGATCATACAGCCCTGAAAGACAGATAATTAAACATTTATTTTTTGAAATTTCACGTTCATAATCAAGATTGTCTCTATCAATAAAAGTAAGAATGATGATAAGATTGAAATTTTTTTTCTCAACTTCCATTCACTTTATTTTGTACTGCATCATAGTGTACTTTTACGTTCAAACATAATTTGATCTGCATGCGAAAGCTTATCATAGTTCACAATCGACATATCTATTTCATTCATCTGTGTCAATTGAAATTTTTTTCTTTTCTAAGCACATGAATCTCCGACACGATCCGCACTTCCTGTATAAACATCGATTCTTCCAAAAAAGAAATGCATTCATGCGAAATCGCCACCCTTGATTTTGTATTTCTAGGGTAATTTTATCGTACAATTAACGAAATATTCTCAATCAATAATAGATTGTATTTGATTAGCTCTTAACTTGATATTTACACAACATCAGAAGAACTATATTAAATGTAGGACGAACTCAATAGACATTCATTCATTATATTCATAAAACATAAATCATCGAGTTTAATAACTTTTCTCTGATGAATACATATGAAAATATTGATTTTTCAGCTCATGCATAATTAATTTAAAATATAATTAGGCGACTAACTTTCTGATCTTATGACCGACGACAGGTAGAAGAAATCTTGCAATGCATATAACAACGGGGCAATTTCATTCATTAGACTTGACTTTTTTTTTAAATAAAACATGTAGTAATGTGCATGAAAACAAAAGTTCGCCTGAAAAGTCATTAAGTGATCAAAATACTATTTCGATCTTGCAAAATAACTTGTTACGCATTATGTAATAAACTGTTCTAATCGTTTTCAATTGTGACATCTTTTTTCTTTTTGGTATACAACAAGTTTATGATTGCTAGAAAAAGAAAGCTGGCGAGAGCGTTATGTCGACACAAACAATATCTAATCTGTATCATTACATAATTGCTCTCTATATGGGATGCTGACAAAATTGCGAATTCACATAATCACCTCAAGAAAATTTTTTTTTTAAAATTCGCTTACCAATCTTTGAATATCTTGGTAGAGGTTTCGGTGGTTCAAGTGAGTGTCCATTTGTAGTACCATTTGTAGGTTTTGTCGCGAATTGGTTTGGCTTATACCATGTCGATGATTGAGCAACACGTTGTAGACCAGGTGCATACGATGCTGAGCCATTTGATAATACCGAACGTCGACCATTAATAACACTTGTAGTTGTATCATAACTTGACGCTGTTGAATCGCGTCTCAAGGGAGTTTTTTCTGACCAAGAACGACTTGGTGATTGATGACGATAAGATGGCCGATATGTACCATTCGGCAAATGAGGTGAATGTGTCGAAGATGAAACCGATATATCAGGTGTATCATCATTATTAGTATTATTATTATTCTTATTCACTCGTTTAGCACGAGGTACATGTCCGTGAGATTTTGTTTTTCGTAAACCATTCATAGACGTATAATCATGATTATACCAATCGGGTACAATTAATTTATTAAACGAAGCACGTAAACGTTCTTCATAAGATGAGTTTTGTTGAGATTTTTTCATTTTATAAACTTGATCGATAGCATCAAATACATTCTGTAAGTAAAGCTTTTCTTCAAAACGCGTCATGATAAATATATATATGTATATCGGCTGTCTATTGGATATCGTGTGAATAACGTTCGTATTCACACGAATATGAATACAATATGATCAGTGAATAAAATAAAACCTACTCCTCTTTATAGCTACGTTATTGATGTTCACAATGATATGAATGAACGAATAAATGTGCGTGAAGTAACAGCATTCATATCATTGAAACGTTCGAGAGCATATTTAAGCGGAAGTTTCGTTCTCTTCTCTCCCTCTCTCTCTCTCTCTCTCTCTCTTATGTCTCTTTTTTTCGAATATGAATGTGAATACGTATATACAACGGACAGAAGGTCGACGTGTTCAATTATAGAACAACACGAAGAGAGAAAATGGGAAGAAAAGACAAATGCCGATAGAGAGTGAAGGGATGTGGGTCGTGTTCACTGACCAGTCTCGTCAGTTTATTCTCACGATCGCGTCTATTCGTCTCGTTAGAACGTACATAGTGATGAAGAAGAAGAAGAAGAAGAAGAAGAAGACATACACGTTCGTACTCATGTTTTGAAACGCAGATATATATAATCTAGTCAAGCGACGAACGACGCGAGAAACAGTAACCCAAAATTAGGGTGAGCCAAAAGAAGGAGAGACACAGAGAGAGAGAGAGAGAGAGAGAGAAAAGAAATCGATCGCTTCTCGTGCTCAGTGACGCCGGAGACAACACTCGTCGGTTATGAACATACAACGAGAAAGAAAAAATAGAAAAAGCGAGAAAAGAATAATATTTAGAATATAATGAAGCACTTACTTAAAAAAAAGAAGAAAAACAGTATCATACCTGTTGAATTATATCGTCAAAGCGATAACTTTGTGACTGTAATTGATATAGAAATAAATGAATAAAACTAAGTCATTCAAAAATGTAAATTACCTTCACCTTGCAGATTGAACTAATAAACTGTTCTATGAGAATGAAATCCTCTTCAATAGTAATGATTCTCTTATCGCAAGTGTGTTAGATATCGATGGTTTTATTTGACATTTTACTTTTTGCTTTTCAATGGAACCAATGAATAGAGAACACTTTAAATTCATAACATTAAATCCTTTTTCTTCTTTGTTTTGTCTTTCTCTCTGTCACTTATTCATTCTCATTTATTTCAATAATATCCGTGTGTAGTCGTTGACTATTAGAACAATCGGTAACCATCACAACTGGTAAAATACTACTAGTTAATCTTGTACTACATAACGATGGTTGATCATCGATAATACTAACATTAGCTGAACAATTTTCTTGCTCTTTAAGACGGACGTATCGTTTACTTTGATGTATCTTTTGTTTATTTGTGCAATTCATTGAATAGCAATTATCTGCTGGTAATGTACTTGTATCACTTGATATATCATCGTCAGGAATCTCCTTGACCTTTGATGTAAGAATAGTTTCTGGATTAGCTTCAATTAAATCGATTTCTAATGGATTATAAGTTTTTAAATAATGCTTTAATAAACATGTTTTCGGCTGTTGACAATTATCAATCATAGTTGAATAATGATTGATAGTAAGATTGATTTTTCCATAGTTTGATATTGCACTTATTTGTTCATTATCTAATGTTAAATCGCCATTAGAAAATAAACTATCTGAACGATAGATTGGTTGTGTGGGTCGAGTAGACCCATATTGATTTAATGAAATGACGAATGCTTGACAAACTTTACTCTTTGTTGTTGTTGCCGATGGCGCATTACGATGGAAACATTTAAAATTACTCAAAAGACGAATAATAAGCCGATTTATTAAATAGATTAAACTAAATAAAGTCCAAAATAGGCCAACCTATAAATAATATAATTTAATCGAAAGAACTACTTTAGAGATTTCTTGTTTCTATTAACAGGAAACGAACATTAGCGCTAGAGGCACAGTTTCCTATAGGAAATTGTCTGTTAGTAATTTTCCGATGACTAACAAAATACTATGTTAAAATCAAATCCTTTATAATCAAGCAAGTCGAGTAAGTACTATTGATGATAAGGAAATAAAAATTTAGCAGAGAAAATATTTTTCAATGAACCATAGAAAATTGTTTAACACACTTGAATAATAATTATCTCATGGCGAAAGATTATTTAATTCTTATTTGTCATGGTAACAGATTCGAACAAGAATTATATGCATGAGAGAAATAAATTCTTATCTATCTATTCAGATAATTGTTTATTTCTACGAATTTGTGTTGTTGTGACAATTAGAATTACTTACAATTGAAAGAATAAAAATAATTCGTTGAACAATTGTAAACGATGATATATGTTGAGTAATATCATCGATTTGAGTCATTTTTTCATGACTAGATTTTTGTCAGGTTCTATTGAATATAAATGACAACATGAAGCATCGTTTTGATTTTTCTTCTTTTATGGATTAATCACATCTAAAAATATACTTGCGTGAATAAGAATATAGTCAGAGAAAGACTATGATAATTTATAGAAAAAAAAAAACTAATTCTTCATATCATGAAATATCATTATTGTAAAAAATGGATTTCTGACACAATATGAACATTAGTTAAGCAGAGATGAAATTGTCGTGCAAAGAATGTTTTCTTGTCTTTTATAGTATGGCTGAAATTCAACTGATCATCAATGAATTGTAGTTATATGTATACATATATATATATAATTACGAAACAACAACATGAAATTATTTTGACATACCTAGTTTTGTTTTGTTTTTGTCATAGAACTATTTGTCTAGTCTAACAGAATTTATTTTGATTATGTAAATGAGTTTATGATTAGTGCTCGTTTGGGTCGGAAATAACATCATTCGTCAATTATTCGTTTGTTGATGTCTAATGTTAACACTAGTTTTGGGACATTTATCACTCATGCAAATCTTTTCCTTTCCTTTCCTTTCCTTTCTCTGTCTCTGTCTCTCACTCTTCTATTGCATTCAAGATTTTGAAGAGATCATTGATTATGATGAGGAAGAAACAGCAATTTCATTTCGGCTTTTTCTTGTTATATATTTTGATAATCAGTAATAGAATCTGGATTTCTTCTGTATGATAAAAAATGGAAACATGAAAAACGATTTAAATTAGTTAAATTATGATTATATCGTAAGAAAATTATACTACCAAAAATATATCCGAAAAGAGAAGTAATAATTATTATAATAAGAATAATAACAGGACTGATTGTATGATTAGAATAAGAACATATCCCTGGGCAACAACATCGAGATTGAATATGAAGACTATATGTTGTTGTATCGTATTGATAACTAGTTGTTGTATCTTCATCATCGTCACGACATATTAAAAATACTGTTAGATCAATGTTTGATGATTGATAGGTGAGTATAGACAAACCGTAAGCATATTGAAATTGAAATAAATCTTGTGTAGCGATAACTATTGACATATTCGAAATTGAATCGGCTATGAAGACAAGCAAAAAGAAAGATTATTTTAGCTTATTTTTGATAAAACTATAATATTTAAAAACATTTTACTATAACATGCTGCAGCATTTGTACAATTGCCATGATCAGATTTCGAATATGAATAACATCCGTTCCAACTAAATGTTTTCGTTGTTGGATTTATACTAGATATTCGATCGTATTTAGGCCCTTTTCCATGTGCAAAGCCTAATGTTCGAAGATCGAATTTTAATCCATCTCCAATATCATAAACACAAATAGGATCAGTAAGAACTGTTTGAATAACAAGAATAAATAAATAACAAATGTACGAATTAAATAGAGAGATAAACATTTTACAGTATAATACTAAAACACAACAGAGGATTAATATAAATTCTAATAACTAAATACCATCTAAGACATTTTATACGAAACCAACAATAAGAATAAAATAAAAAGTTTACCTATATATTTCATGTTGTGATTATAATGTTTGTTGCACTATGATAACATTTTATTCTTGGCAATTTTAATAATAAGAATTATGTGAATGAATTAGAAAGAAGATCTGTTCAATCAACAACGTTCAAAAGAGTCTCATTAATATTTTATAGTTGTTAACTACAATTTTTGAGTTCTTTTCAATTTGAAAGATCCAATGGGAGTGCGGTGCTATCTGTATTTTGACTCTTATATCTTATGTAGATCAAAAGGCTTACGAATTCAACGCCCCGGAATAGTCTGAGAAATGATCCTCTATTTATAGAAGTGCTTACCTGTATAATAATAAAAAAGCTTAATTAAAATAACGCCGTAACACGACTTTACATACTCTTTTAAACAAAATAAGAAGAATACAATTTAGAACAATGCAGCTATTTAAACAATTCTGCATATAACATTCAGCTTACGCCTCGATGATGCAAGCTTCGAGCTATTTTCCTATGCATCTACCTGAACACAATAATTTACTTGCCAAAAATCAGTTTTATAGTGATTCAATCATTGTTTGATATAGATATGAATTTGAATGTCTAAATTGAAGAATTTACGATGGATATAATAAAGAAGAGAAAATATTGAGATTTAAAATTCAAAAAAAAAACGGTGAAAATTATCTCCTTCAACCTTTCTGTAAAAAGATAAATTTAAGAACTTGCGCATGTGCTCTCAAACTTATGTAAATAAAAACAAAATGATAGACGCCACTATATTATCTTTTATTAACAAATAAAGAATTTTCAAACACTAAAATGTTCTATCATAGCACATATTATCATGATTTGGATTCAAGCGAACAAAAAGTACTTGAAATTTACTTGGGAAAAATGAAAATTACGTGGTTCATTCTCTTTGTTAGGTAGTGGCGCTATCTTCCACCCACTACCTCTCTTTTCTTCTCTCTTTTATGTGTTCTCTTGATTGGTCATCTGTGTAAACCGGTCAAGACATGGTAGTTGGTCGAGTTGTTGTTGTTTTCTCGAGGTAACAATAAACTAGTCCTACAGCCTAACACTCTTGTAAATACTGAGAATTTCTAGCATTTTCTCTTTGATTTCTTAATGAAGTATTTATTTACTAGCTATTTCTATAACAATCATTTCTCATTAAAAAATAGTTACTACATGAAATCATGTTAAAAAGTCTCGTTAAGTCTGATCTTATCAATAAGATATTCTCTTCAATGAATGCTGTACAATCTTTAGATCTTCTATCGACAGAAAATACCCCTCCAAACAGATACTCTTGTTAGATTGATTACGGTAAAAATATCGTTCCTTTTGAGGCACGATGAGATTCAATTATAAATAAAAGTATTATTTCAGTTCTTCGATGTCATGATTTATTTATTGACCTATCAAGTTTTTCCGAGCTAAGGTAAAAGTATCCTTAGTGCCAATCAATAAAAGTTAAAGAGTATCTGATAGAGAAAAACTGGCAACATTATTTATTGCATTTAATTGATATGAATCAGTCGACAGCGTATTATTACGACATTTTCTCAACCGATAAAATACGACGGAAATGAGAATCATTGAAGAACTTGCGGAAATGAGAATGAGCACAAGCTGAAGAAAAAGAAGAAGAAGAAAAAGCGTTCCCGTAGATCTTTGACAGGCAAAGATAAGTGAAAAAAAATGAAATGAACAAAAATTGTTGCTTTTTTGCACTATCATCTGTTTGAATATTCTTTTCGTTTTTGCTGAGTAATTTTCAGTAATTGATTCTCTATAGTGTCATCTACGAATCCAATCGATATAGGTTTTCAATACCAAGAATTGCCAGGACAAAATAAGGCTACTAATCTAAATCAATCTATAGGATACGAATAAACAGTGGAGTAGAAAAAAACAATAGTTATTTAAAAAAAATACAGGGCATCGAACTCTATACGCTGAAAGTACAATAGAACCAGTGACGTAGCCAAGATGGGCATTGGGGAATCGCCCAATAACTAAGAAGTTATTACCGAAAAATTTTTCGAAATGCTACAAATTGTTCAATGCCGAAAAATTTTGATACACATATGTTCGAAGGGGTATGTGGGTGTGGGTGTTCTCTTCATCTTCATGTACACCCATCCCACGTGTTTCATTACGATGAAACTGTGGCGCAGTTACGCCGTAACTGCGATCGCACTGTGACCCGTAATTGCGGAAGATTGAGACGTAGTTACGCGTAGTTATGGTGAAAGAATCACAGTTACGCATAATTGTGTCCAAGTTTTTCGCAATTATGAGCCACAACAACGTCGCAATTGGTACAAAAGATAACATAGATGAGGTTTTCATTTTATTTGTATTTTTATTAAGTTTAAAAAATTTTTTCGCACACAAAATAAAAAACTTCACACCATAAAATTAAAAATTTTATAAAAAATAATAATACAATTTTTAAGTTGAAAGTTTTCACAATAAAAATAATTGAAAAATTAAAGCATGAAAAATTAAAAATTTACTAAATTAAAAGTTAAAAAAGAATTTTAATTTTAAAACTTAAGCAAAGTAAAAATAATATCTAGAAAAATTAAAAGATTAACATCTACAAAAATTTTAAAAAATTTAATATATAGAAGAAAAACAATTCAATTAGAAAAATTTGAAATAATTTAATAAAAAAGAAAAAAAAATTAATTACAAAAAATTGAAAAACTAAAAAGATTTAAGCCTAGAAATTATTAAAAGAAATAAAAATTATGCATTCTACTGCTTATAGTAGAATGACTTATGAACGAAAATGTGATGAATACTACTATTTATACTGATTTTCTGTGGCTATGTTTTATTGTTAAAGTGTAGCCAATTACAAATAAGGAGGAATAATTTATAATTGGTCATTTATTCCTACAACGGATCGTAGGATGCAATCACTAGGACGCAGTTACGTTGATCTGCATTACAGTACGCGTAGTTTCTTATAGAAATATTCACTACAATCAATGCGCCATAGTTACGCGTAACTGCGGCGCAGAATTGGCTCTGCGCGTAACTGCGGCACAGTTGGTAAAAAAACAGGCGACATGTGCACACCCTAAAAATGAACATTGTTTTAGTTCTGTCCTCAACGATGCCGTCGATTTCCTTTTTTTACCTAAAAACATGTGTTGTTGTTAGTAAATTTATGCAGACATGATAAGCATTTTTTTGTCTGTTTGCTTGTCGAGTTTCTTGCTTTTTCTTTCTTCTCTACCATCAGTCGTTGTATAGACGATTTAGTCCATTAACTTATACGATCATATAACAAGTACGTTTTCGTTCTCCTTTATCATGGGATTTTTTCTTGTAGATGGTTGTATTGTATGACGTTCAATTTATATCCGTTCACTTTTACAAACATAAAGTAAATATTTTTTCGCTCTTCTCTGTCATGGTTTTTTCTAGTCCATCGCATCGTATAATCTTGTATTTTTATAGTTTTCATAAAGTGCTTTTTCTTGGCTACCTTCTAACGGGTGGCCCAAAATAAAGTAGACTGTTAGTGTTTTTATAGTTTCTCCTCTATCATCCCCATGATGAAGATACTTTTTTTTATCAAAAGATAGCGCTTAAAATTCTTCACAAAATTATATACGAGTAGGCCAAAAATTTTTTTTACATATATTTGAAAAAAGATGAAAAGTAACGACATATAAAAAGCCGAAAAATAACGGGCTGGACATTATGAATGATCGCACTTGCATCTCATTTTTCTAACACTTACTATATCCTATTACAAAAAGAAGATATTTCAAAAGATGCAGCGTGAAAAGCTCTACAATCTACATGGACTGATTATTTTATAGTCGCACGTTTTGTTTTGAAAATGGACCAAATTTTGAGCGGTAAAATTTCGATCCTGCGAAAATAATGCAATTTTTGGTAGAAGATGAATTCGTGTTTTTCTTATTTCCTCTTTTTAAAATTTTTCTTGGTAAATTGTAGAGCTTTTCACGCTGCATATCTTGATATATTTTATTTTCTAATAGGATGAAGTAGGTGATAGAAAAATACGATGCAAGCCCTAGTGAAACATCTTGTAAGTAAGATCTTGAAATCTTGGGATTGGTAGGTAAGATCTTATCAAGATCTTTAAAAGATAATTCGCTTATTCAGATCTTGT